CCAGGAGTACTTTACTAAAAAAATATTTATAGCAGCAATGTTTGAAAGAGCCCAAACTGGAAACAACCGAAATATCCACCACAAATAAAATAGAGAAATATATTTTGGTACATCATTAATGGAACACCCTGTAGCCATGAATATCTATCTAGATAGCTAGCAAAAAAAAAAAAAGGCAAATCCGAAGTCTACATACAGTGTGATTCGATTTATATCAAATACAAACAAAACACAGTACTACTTAGGGGTACATGTGAGGTAAAAGTATAACTAGTAAAGCAGAAGGGACCAGAAAATATCCACAAGTGAGTACTGAAGCAACGAAGGCAGACACAACTGGGCAGGGGCTTAGGGGAGCGCCTACGATGCTGATTCTTCAGCTCCTTCTTAAGCTGAAGTGTTAGGGTCGCCTCGTATTTCTGCACATACTGTGACCAGAGGCACCAACAGCTCCAGACTATCTGGTCAAAGACGTTTGCATAGCGAATAGCCTTGGAGGCCAGAGGAGGGGGAGGCAGTCTCTCAGCCCCTCAAGACGCACGCTCTCTAGACTCGGGGCTCCTCTGCTGTGGGGCCACCCGAGCCCACGGGGTTCCCTTCGTGAGAAGTGACGGGGAAATGACACCAAGGCTACACTCTGCGTACTGTGACCATCGGAATAATACATCGTCTGAGGCCCAACTGTCCTGCGTCTTCCTTCAGCAGCCGTGAATCTGCCACAGGCGAACTTGGTAGCTTGCAAACAGATAAGATCTCACACTCTTCACAATTTTTTAAATATTCTGTTTACTGACTCCAGAGAGAGGGGGAGATAGAAACATCAATAATGAGACAGACCACCGGTCGGACCACAATCCTTGATACAAGGTAGATTTTAGGCTGTACATCAGCCCTAGCAGCTTGCTCAGTGGATAGAACGTCGGCCTGAGGACTGACGGGTCCTGGGTTTGATTCCAGTCAAGAGCCTGTATCTTGGTTGCGGGCCACTGCCCAACATCAATGATGAGAGAAAATCATTGATCAGTTGCCTCCTACTGGGGATCGAGCCCACAACCTGGGCATGTGCCCTGACTGGGAATCCAACCAGTGACCTCCTGATTCATGGGTTGATTGATGCTCAACCACTGGGCCCCACGGGTCGGACCACAATCCTTGATACGAGGTAGATTTAAGGCTGTACATCAGCCCTAGCAGCTTGCTCAGTGGATAGAGCGTCGGCCTGAGGACTGACGGGTCCTGGGTTTGATTCCAGTCAAGAGCATGTATCTTGATTGCGGGCACATCCCCAGTAGGAGGTGTGCAGGAGGCAGCTGATCGATGTTTCTCTCTCATCGATGTTTCAAACTCTCTATCCCTGTCCCTTCCTCTCTGTAAAAAATCAGTAAAATAAAAAAAAATTTTTTTTAAAAAAGAGCATACATCAGCCCTGGCGGGTGGCTGGGCTGGTTGGGGTGTCCTCTGGGACACCTAAAGGTTGCGGGCTCGATTCCCTGTCAGGGCACATAACCTAGGGTGCAGGTTTGACTGATCGATCACTGTTTCTCCCTCACATCACTGTTTCTGTTTCTCTCTCTCTCTCTCTCTCTCTCTCTCTCTTCTTTTCTCTTCTCTTCTCTTCTCTCTCCTCTCCTCTTCTCTCTCTCTCTCTCTCATCGCGAACCCCACTTTCCCAAACCAGTGACTCAGAGTCAGGATGAGAATCCAGGTCTCCTGGCCGGGATGACAGGCGCAGGTGCCCAGCGTCCAGGCTTTCAACTCTGAATAGTCTGATTCCAGCAATGACAGCAAGACTGGATTCTCAGATGTTTGTAAACACTGACGGTGGCTCCTGTAAAATAAGTAACACAACGCCTAGCCCGTGTTGGGCACTCGCTAGAGTAAAGCTGCTACAGTTACTGCTGTTGCTCAGAAATCGTATGACTGTGGTTACCATTCAGGCGACTATCCCTCTTAAGACAGGCGAGAGCCGTACCGCGGACACCGGTGAAGGGGGACTCCCCCCACCCCAGCCCCGGGGAGGAACAGCTGGAAAGGGAAGAGGAGAACGCGGGAGTGGAGCCCGAGCCCGGCCCGGCCCCGCGCACCTCGCACCTCCCGCTCAGGCTCGGAGTCTTCGTCCGCCTCGCGCTCCCGCTTCACCCGCACGGCGGGCACCACGGGGGCCGGGGCCTCGCGCGCGCTCGCCGACTCGACCTCCCGCTTCACGCGCACCGGGC